ATTATATCACAAATCATTCTTTGGTAAAGTATGATCATAAGCCACAAACAAACGTATAAAATTATCTCTTTATTTTAAATTACTATACTCTATTATACAATTAAAAACTTTTTACCTACTTGCTGGAGAGATGCTGCTTGTAGTATGTTGGACTCATTGTGGATTATTATTATTCCCGGTGACAAAAGATAGCCAGATGACACAAGACAAGTATAAAATGCTTAAAACACGTGTTTATTACGTAATTTATACGTTTTAAACGCGTCTTTTACCCGTTGGTAGCGACTAGCTAGCTATTCACTGGCTAGTTGCTAGCTTATTTCCCACCAAATTATTACTATTGTTATTGTCATTAAATATGATCAAAATAATATTGTGATATGATTTAGCTGTTATTACTATAACTATTATTAATAATTGTTTAATACTTTGCTCTGATATTTATCAATATTGTTATTAGTTCTGTTATTATTAGTAGTACTATTAATACTATTACTATTAATATGATAAAAATAAAGTAAAATAAAGTAATAAAAACAATAGCGATGAAGAGTTTACTAATGAAAATGTTTTACTCTAAGACTGATTAAAATAACAAACATAATAAAAAATAATAAAATTACAGTCGCGATCAAAAGTTTTTAAAAAAAGCAATTAAGCAACCATAAACAGTTTTTGTATTTCAACTGTATCATCCGATTTATTAGATTTAACTTGCGTAGTCCCTCAGGGCTCTATACTAGAACCCCTTCTTTTTCTTATTTACATTAATGACCTCCCTAAAGCCACCAATTTAATTACCGTTATGTTTGCTAATGTATCATTAGCAAACATAACGGTAACGGTTAATCTCTTTTTATCTCATAAATGTATAACAACATTGTTTCAAAATATGAACATTGAGTTAACAAATGTTTTTGACTGGTTTAAAATAAATAAGTTTTCGCTTCATTTCAGTTTTTATCTGTGGATGAATGTGATCTAAACGCAGCATAGCTCGGATATGGATTGGTAACCAACGAACATATTTGGTGTTGTTATTTGGAAAAAAATAGAGTAACAATTCTTATAAAGCCTGGCAATATAAATCGAAATTGGCTTCTCTGAAAGATAGTACTAACAATAGAATGGTCAGCTCCATTTCCAAAATCATTAACCAGAATTGGAATTGTGGACTTTGGTGCTTGCGCATGTCACACCAATCATTAAAATTAAGTTCCGGTTGGTCATCAGTTTGTGCTTTTGTACAAAACATGTCGAATGACTCATGCAGCAAATTTATATAAACAACTTGGTGTCACCTGTTGCATCTGCTGTGTTCTTATTACGCTTGATGCTGAAAGGAATGAATCTGCTGTACCAGTAGTAACTATTCCTGATTCAACCAAAGCTATCCAATCACTATCTTACAAAAGGCTTCCAATCAATTTCAGAGCAGCTCAATATGCAGTCTATCTCAATATGCAGTCTACCAAACAAAAGGACAAATTTATCTTCACCATATTTCTTTTTGGCCAGTGCCATTGAACTAGTTTTGCCATGGTAAAAATGGGTTGATCATAAGTTATGATCAACCCATTTTTACAGGGACTTGGTCTGGATTAAGATGGGACACAACTTCCTTGATTTGTCTATACAATGACAAAACGTTGCAACAGAGTGAGTTTGTTCTTTAAAGAGAGGTAATAGCGATGAAATATTTTGAAAGAAGGATTTCTCTTCAATAAAGTATGATGTGAAGACCAAGATATATCAGTTCTATCTGTGTTGACTGTTTCTGTGAGACTAACCTTTTGCAACCAATCATACTTCGGTTTCAGAACAATAGGTGGAAGCAGTGCTTAACTTTTGACTTGTGGGGGATTTGGATTTTTGGTACCAAAAAAGGCAGGTGGAACATTGGTGTAAGAGTCTGGAAGATTAGAAATGGTCTTATTCTTCTTATCAATTTGCCATGGTTCCTGTAATACTCCCTCATTTTCCAAAGTTGGGTGTTGGAATATAGAAGAATATAAAACAAACACTTGTTCCAAGGAATGAAGACGTTGATGTTGTAGCAGTTGGATTGTGATCTATATTATCCATTGCTGAGGTTGAAAACAAACTTACTAAAAGCTCTGAAAAAACCTGAGGGACCACTTCTTTTTCTGTATCTATTTGACTTTCCTGGTCCTCTTGTTTTAGTAGAAATGCTCTCTCTCTGTTATAGAGTGCTGTTAAACAAGAACAGTGGTACTTTAGTTCTTGGGCTACTACATCTCCTCTATTTAACCGTGCTAACAGCTTCCCGTCATTTAATGTTTTCGCACATTCATTTAATCTCTTATCTAGCTGCATTGTCATAGCTTGTCGAAGATCTGCCGATGGTTCTGTTTTTTCACAAAGAAAGCACACTTGCTTTTCGATACTTAATTTTCTTCTTTTTTCTGATGTCACTTCTGTTGAACTTTAGGATGCTACACTTTTAGTTGCTCTGTCAAGCTTGCTATTGCTAAACATTAATCTGCAACTTTGGTGATACTTTGCTTGGTTTTTGCGGAGTGCTTTTTCTATTTCGTCTCCTTCGTCTAATTTCCCAGGATCAAGTGTTTAAAATTGGTAACCTGTTAATGTCCTTGATTAAAGGAACAATGACATATCTGTCTCTGTCTTCTCTAGCCTCATATCTGGAAGGAGGTGATTTTAACTCTTCCTCCTTTTCTGTCTGGCAAAGACACCATTTACTCCAATCAGTGCTGGCACATCCTGTCATTTCAGGTGCAGCTATCTCAATTTTTTACAGTATTATTATAAAATAGAAATAATAAAACTATATGTGAGGGTATCTCGTTAGCATATGAAACATTAATAGCAGCCGTGGCGCAATGGTAGCGCACTTGCCTCAGAAACGTAAGATCCGTGGTTCAAACCCCACCTCTGGGTAAGTTTTGCGACATTGGTTGGGAAGGAGGCGTGAACTTCCTATTTAATACTTTTCCGCGGTGCTCTGTGATAAGACCGTAAGGACTTCTTGGGGCACCTTAATCAACTTAAAAAAAAAAAAAAAAAAAAAAAAAAAACACTGAAAAGTATTAAATGTATATCAGCTGACACTGAACCCCATGCTGTGTCTAACAGCAGAGTTATCACCAATGTGCCCTGGTTGTGCTAAGACAACCACTCCTTAAATGTATATACATACTGACTATATAAAAAATAATTTTAATGATATCAAAAGCAGCAAAACTTAAACAAATCATAAATGAATTCAACAAATACCATCAAGATCAGGTGTAAAAACCATCAAAGGAACAGAAAAGGCCTAAAAGTTCACATTCAATTCTTGAATCTAAATTTCTGGTCAATGTCCGCCATCTTGAAAAATGACAACCATTTTGACTTTTTGACGAAATGGCCACAAATTTTGCAATTAAAATTGATAATAAAGACTAACAATATTTTGTCAAAAGTTTAGGATTTAAAAATGTAGGAGTTCTGACTTTTACCAACGCTAAAAGTAACATTTAGAGAGTCACATTCAATTCTTGAATCTAAATTTCTGGTCAATGTCCGCCATCTTGAAAAATAGCAACCATTTTGATTTTTTCGTGGCTAATGTGCTTTTTTGTCAAAGACATAGTTAAACTACAATCCAGCCAAGTTTCGTGCTTGTATCATTAACTGATTTTTTGCTTGTATCATTAAAAGATTTTTTCACTAAGCTGCCGCGCTAAAATAGGCAATTTGATTGCTGGTCACACAATTTAAGGACTTTAGACATAAAATTGAGTTTGCTATAGTTTAAATAAGTATGTTGGAAATAAATTAACTTTTTTGTATATATATATTTATTTTTAGCTTTATTTTGGAGATAAATCAGTCTTGCAAGCGCTTATATTGTCCTGGAGCTTGACAAGCATATCTGCGATAAGAGCGAAAAATGGGATAATATATATTGAGCAAAGTTTCATGATTAACATATTTACGGATTGTAGCTAATTGCCGTTCGATCTGCCTAATTTTAATGCTAAGTTTTAAAGATGCAATACAAAAGATAAACTAGAGTCTATTATGATTCCAAGATATTTAATAGAGTAAAGTGGATTTATTTTCTGCCTACAATCTGAAATTTAATTGCTTATTAACTTTTTTTGAACAGATTTAAATATAATAACTTTTGTTTTTTTAGAGTTAAAGGATAACTTATTTGGACGAAGCCATTAAACAATATTAGGTAGATCGTGATTTATATTTTTGTTAAGAATTTTGAGTGATTTGTTAATTGGGAGCAAGTTGGTGTCATCCGCAAAGTGATACGCAGTAGGAAATTTAAGTGAAATATTTAAACCATTGATAAAAAAAAAAAAAAAGTAACGGTCTTAAAATTGAGTCTTGTGGAACACCGCTAAAAGATTTTAGGCAGTTCTGATTTGATACCATAAAATAAAGGATTTAGCTGTTCATAGATACTGTATGTATACATAATTGACACAATTTATACATACCATATGATTTTATTTATACTTTGTACATATATTGATTGATATTCCTTTCATGTTCTCTTAATTTAAGTCAACCTAAATTGAAAATAAAAAAAAATAATCAGTTTATTTTTTCTTGTAAAGCTGCTCTTTGGCACCAACGTCCATTAATTTAAGATTACAAAATCATGCATCTTATAACAGAAATTAGGTTCTAATAATATTGGAAAATCTTTAAGAGTGACATTATGAATGGCAAGTCAAGCGTTCCACCTCTCATTTTTTACATCTCCTAAAAATAAGACAGAACTATTTGCAAAGAACTTTTCCTCTAACTTATCTGACAGGTATTGTTTTTAAAAATGAAGTATACTTTAATTAGAAAAAACAACTGTTTTCTTATGGAAATATGCAGAATATACATCCAAACTTTACAATGTTTTGTCTGTCGTCTTTTGTGCATGCGCTTTAGAATTTAAACACAGCAACTCGTCTTTATTTGGTAAATATAGGGTAAAAAAAGAAAAAAAATTATACGAGGTTATACAAAATAAGTTAAATCTTATGACAAAAACTTATATTATAAAGCTAATGAGATTTTATATCACTATAAAGTTTTTAACAAATTAAATTCTATAATAATCTCTCTTCTTTCTCGATGAATTGCAAAATACGAAAAAATATAAAACTATTGTAAAAATCATAAAAATTTAATTATTCCACTTGATTCTTTGCGTCCATAAACTTGACGAACCGTTGCGATAAAACAATCCCTCAGCGTTGCCTAAGAAAAATAAAATGATATAATTCAATGATACAAACAACAATCCACTCGTTAAATTTTATCATTTGAATGAAGAAAAAAAACATTAAAAGCATTTATGTTTTTAAAACTTTTTGAAAACTTTTTTTAGTATCAAAACTTAAAGCAAAAGCTATTGCAATTTACAGAAAAAAGTCATAGCCTAAAATGTCCGATTTTAAATTTCATTTTAATTTATGTTATTCAAATATTTTTATCAAAAAAAAATCAATGAGACAATAGTTAAATTAAAACATACTAACTGAAATGCAAAATTCATGCGGTTATCATATATAGTAAGTATTTCATGAAATTTGATTAGATTAGTAGATTAGTAAGTATTTCACGAAATTTGATTAGATTTTTTAAAGGACTTCATTGAGTGTGGAAATAAATAAAAATGTATTATTGTACTTCACACCGAATAGAGTGGGATACGAATTGTATTTTTTATACTTTAAACAGCAATATCCTACTACTTGTTATAAAATTCACCTAATGTGCGAGATAAAAAATTAATTTTTTTTGACCGACTAACACATGATTGATGGTCAAGCGTTAACATTGGCACGCTTAAAAAAACGTCATTATTATTGTGTATTGATTTTTATTATCAAAATACCTAAATTCTTTAAATAAAAAATACTATGCGAATTAAAACTAAGGAATTTGCATTACTTTCATAAAAATATCTTTAAATAACTTCTACGCCATCTTAAAAGTAAAACTTACAAGTAAAGTATCTAAAAAAACAAACATTAAAATTAACCACAAACTTTAATAATTTAAAACAACTCTCACTAATTACTTCAATAAATTTCACGTGAAAGTTAGTGTGTTTTAGAAATACCTGATTATTTGTAAAACTGCAAGGATGAAAGTAACCGCTAATTTACACCTGCCTAAAGATAATATTTCCATTGAGACACCAGCTCTAGCATTTACTAAACCAAAATCCTAAAGGGAAGGTATTTAAGTTTGGAATTGATTTTTTCTAGAAAAATACTAAAAAAGTTTGAACTACAAGGCAGTAGGACACATGGCATTTACGCATTTACATGTTACCAGAAACAGAGTGATCATAATGATCATGAATCTTGACTGAATATAAATTAGAAAAAAATACTGCAACACAGTAAAAAATTACTGTGTTGCGGTAATTTTTTCTAGCAATATTCTCCAGTAGACCTGATTTTTCTAGCAATATTCTCCAGTACACCTGATTTTTCTAGCAATATTCTCAAGTAGACCTGATTTTACTGGAGAATATTACTAGGAAAAATTACTGCAACACATTACTGGAACAAACTACTGCATAATACTACATGAGCAAATTACTGCAAAATATTATTGAAACAAGTTAGTTGATCATTTAGTATACTAGTATATCTTTACAAAAATATTTCGTATTTAAATAAACAATTTATTTTGGCCTCAATGTGAAAAAAACTCAGAAACTGAGATATCAAAATATTAACAGGAAAAAAAAGTTACCCATCCACTGATTTACATCAAGAGTATAATATTGATCATTATCCACTTCAAAATTCTTCATCATTTGATTATCAAGATTTAGAGATATTTTATCAAACTGTTGATTTGTCAGCCCAAGCCACTTGTTGAAAACTGTATTAAAATATAGATACAATTTCTGATTACGATGGATTGCATGAAGCTCTTTAGTTACTAAATGATGTCCTAACACACATCCTACAGTAACATCCAGATCTAGAAGTATGAAAGGCGTTGATATTTTATTTAAATTAAACTTTTGAATGGCATTATTACACTTTAAAAATAAAATTATTATTTGATATTAAGTTTATTTTTAATAACAATATCTCTATTTTAACAATAAATATTTTTAAAAAAACAAATGCATTAATTATAGCAAGTATTTTTTTAAATTATTCGAAACTTTTGAGTTAAGTGTATTTAAATAATATAAGTAAACATGTCAAATTTTTGTGAGCTATTTATGTAGTTTTAAAAACATTTTATTACTTCTTCAACAAGCTTATTTTCAAAGTATTAGATACAACAACAAATCACTTAAGGCGAACCATTAGTTATATTAGTTATATAATTTAACACAGCATTACTGAGATAAAAGTTGTACAATTTAACAAAGTATTACTGAGAAGAATAAAATTTAATTTGTTATGAATTATCTTAAATTGTTGTATAACATAAATGTAGTTATTTAAAACGAAATATTTATAATTATAAAAATATAACTAACATTTAGAAAAGTTTTAAGAAGTAAGATTCTACTCATTATAAAACAATAGTATAACAATCTTTCTTACTAATCATAAAATCACCAGCGATATTTGAAAAATAGCATGCCGGTTTTGTGCTAAAAAGAAATATTGATTAAATATTTAATGATTTCATGGACCTCAATCATGGCTTCATGGCACTGTAAATAAAAACATGTTAATCATAGTTTTCAATATTAAAAATTATGATCAACATGTTTTTTTACAATTAAATTAATAATTTCAATATTTATGATTCAACAAAGATTGCACATATTATTAGAATATAATAAATTAATATAGTTTAACAATGAGTTACAAAAAAATTAATTAACCTCTCAACATTTTGGTTCATGCATATATACATATAAGATTTGTCGGCATTCACAAGTATTCCACGACCATAATATTCTGAATTAAAAACAAATAAAATTGGTTTTATTATTTATCAATTTAATACCAACTAAAAACAAAATAAACATTTATTTATTATTATTACAAATAAATATTTAATATTAACTACAAAGGAGTTATTATATACTTATTTTATTTTATAATGAATAATTATAACTATATATTAAATAAATATTTTTAATTATAAACTCATTGGTAACTGCAACTACAATGTTTTTAGTTTTATAAATAAATGAACATGCAAAAATGTTTTCAAAACTGAAAAATATATAAATATACACCAAAATATATGCTTTGTATATCTTTAACATCTTTTTTAACATTTAAAACTACTTGTAAATGGAAACCTCAGCTATGTGTCATGATAGTTAAATGATATACTTAAAGATGGATTTATTTATGTTGCGGATAAACTTAGCTGAAAAATAAAGCTTAACACTTCATTTAAGAGGTTTTAAAGGGTACTTGACAGTTCTGCAGGTATTAATGTTTTATGAAGAAAATCAAAGTGCAAAGCATATTATAAAAATAAAGTAAAAGAACTGAAAACAATAAAAGAGAAATATAATGAATTTAGTTCATAACCAAAAAATCTGCCAGGAACTTCACCAAATGTTCTTCCACATAAAAGTCAGAATTTTGAAAAAAAAAACAATAAAAAAAAAAATCTATATTAAATATAGATTGTTTTATTAATTTGATATTAAATTTTAATATCACTTGAAAAGGTACAGCTTACTGTGCAATAATCTTTTACAGTTTCAATTGAGGATTTATTAATGTTAATGTTTTATAGAGAATATTTTGTTAGATTATCTTATGATTTTTTAAAAATTAGTTTCTTAAATAATAATAACATGCTTTTATTATTACTTTATCATCACTTTAAAACTTATTAAAAATTTGTTTTAAATTATTTTTAAATAAATTTATCCTAGAACACTGCTTTTCAATGTAATATAGCTATTTTGCAATGTCTTAAATTCCTTGCACATTTTTGATCTGGATCAGATTAATTTGACAGTGATAAAATAGATCATAAAAAAAGTAGATCTTAAAAAAAAAATTTATCATGAATCATGAAAAAAAAAAAAAAAAATATATTGTGACTATTCCATGACACATTTTTCATTAGCAAATTACAGGGTTATTCATTCTTATATGCGCGTCTATTCATTTTTATATGCGCCTTTATTCATTCTTATATGCGCATTTATTCATTTTTATATGCGCCTTTATTCATTTTTATATGCGCATTTATTCATTTTTATATGCGCCTTTATTCATTCTTATATGCGCATTTATTCATTTTTATATGCGCATTTATTTATTTTTATGTGGTTTACAAAAGCAATTGTAAAAAAGCAATTTGAACCAAAAAAAATCATTTAATAAAATCATTGATAAAACAGTTTATTATTTCAAAGCAAATTTTTCTTATTTCCTGGTAAACGAGTTTAAAAATACTTATAAGAGGAAGACTTTTTACATTCGATGATGGTTTAGTATTAGTTTTTAGTTTAATTTTATTACATTATATTAAATTGTATTATTGTATTAAATTTCTTGATTGATTAAGTTATTTTTTATCTAATTATTTATTTTTCTAGATTTATTATTTAATTATTTAAAATTATTAATATCAAATTTTTACCCTATGGATGGAATAGAAAATAATCGTAAAACAAGAAAAAATGTTACAAAAGAGCACATTGAAATGCTTAAACATTTAGTTGAAAGAAATCAATCTACAACAAGCATTTCCACTTCTCTTAATTTATCGAAACGCACAGTTCAAAATCTTGTCGTTAAGTTAAACAGAGGAGAATTCGACGACATGACTGCATTCAAGTCGTCTTCTGATAAAAAACGAGGTGAAAGACCTATAAACGCTCAAATAAAAAATATTATCGAATTATGCGTACAAGAAAACAATCTTTGCACGCAAGAAACAATAAAAGAAAATCTTTCTGCAGCAGGCTTCAACATGTCTCAGCCTACTATTTCAAGAAAACTCAAACGCTCGGATTTATCAAGAAAACGTGTTGTGCATGTGCCAGAAGAACGAAATTCAACACGAATTATCAATGCACGCTATGCATTTGCAAGCGAAATTAACGGAATTTCAGATGAAAAACTTATTTATTTGGATGAAACTGGATTTAATGTGCACACTAACAGCACATATGGTTATTCGCTAAGAGGTGCGCCAGCAATTTTACAGTCGCCTGCAAATCGTGGCAAGAATGTTAGTTTAATTTGTGCTGTTTCAACAATAGGAGTGCTTGCTTATGAAACAAAAACTGGAGGCTGGAATGCAGATTCATTTTGTACTTTCATAACTACAATGATGGCACCAGCGATTAGGAATGCAAATGTGGAAGCGCCGGTGCTTGTTATGGACAATTGTAAATTCCACTGGAGTCTTTCTGTTAGGCAAACACTAGCCTCTCATGGTATAGCTATTAAGTATCTGCCAGCTTACACGCCACAGCTTAATCCAATAGAAGAATTTTTTTCTTCTTTAAAACATACTTACAAACAGGGAGAAAGGCCTCGAAATACGGATGAGGTAATCAGGAAACTTAAAAATATTATGGATACTACAGAGTTTAATATAGTTCCATTTTACAACCATATGCGTAGTTATATAAATCAAGCGCTGGCTCGGCAACCATTTCTTAAATAAATAACAATGAAAACAACCTAATTTATATTTTAAATATGTCTAGATAAAAATTTAAAAGCGTATTTATCGTTTATATTAAATTATATTAGAGATTTTATGGGTGGTTGACGCATATACAAACATAGGGATGTATAATTTGATATTAATAATAATTATAAACAAGTAAATTTAAATCGAGATAAATGAATAATTAGATAAATAATAACTTAATCAATCAAGAAATTTAATAATAAAATTACAAAGAACTAATACTAAATTAAATAAACCATCGTCGAATTTAAAAAGTCCTCGTTTTAAGTATTTTTAACCTCGTTTACCTAGAATTAAGAAAAGTTTGTTTTGAAAAAATAAACTATTTTTTCAAAACAAATTGCTTAAATGATTTTTTTTTGTTCAAATTGCTTATTTACAATTGCTTTTGTAAAACGCATATAAGAATAAACAAAGGCGCATATAAAAATGAATAAATGCGCATATAAAAATGAATAAAGGCGCATATAAAAATGAATAAATGCGCATAGAAGAATGAATAAAGGCGCATATAAAAATGAATAAATGCGCATATAAGAATGAATAAAGGCGCATATAAAAATGAATAGACGCGCATATAAGAATGAATAACCCTGTAAATATACTTATCTATTTATTAAAAATTTATATAGGGTAGCTAGTTGCCTCACACCAATGGTTAACCATATCTGCTGTCACCTTCAAAGTAATAATCTTACACAGTAATAATCTGTCACCTTCACAGTAATAATGCTTAAAAGGAATTAATCCAACAAGGTTTAATGGGAAATATCGTCACAACAATTATGACCATCTTATTATGATAATTACGATAATTACTATGTGGTCTCAAAACAATGCTTTTTTAAAAATTATGATTATTTACTTTTAACGTATGATAGTGGAAAAAAAGTTTAAAGAACATAACATATTATCATAAAAAAGATATAAAAATATAAGCATTTTATTAAATGTTTGAAATTAAGACAAAGCGAGTAAAATATATAAATATTGGGAATAAAAGAGGAGGGGGAAAGGGAGGGCTGAAGAAATACACTAAATATTATGATATCATCATAAGCTATATTTTATTTATCAAAAAATTACAAAGAATTACCTTTTAAAGCATTTTTTTCTTTTATTATATTTGGGAAATTTTCATCCAAACAAGGCAAACTTTCTTGATATGAAACTGTTACAGACTTCATTATGTTCATTTTATTTTTATAACTTATATTTACTGGAATTTCAATTGGAAAACTTTTAAGACATTTTCTTTTCTTTAAAAGCAATGTTATATTGTTTACAACTTTTGTGTTTAAATATCCAGGAAACTAAGGAATAATATAAAAGATATTATGACTATATATATACTTTTTTATAAGTATACTCTGAAAAAAAAGTTATTAGTGATAAATTTGTATCAAATATCAAAAATATATAATATTTAATTTGTATTTTGCACTAACTAAAAGCTGCTTCAAATATATCTTTAAACGTTTTATTCTCTACATTAAAAAAAAAAAATTATAAAAAGTTACAAATTTTAAATATATATATATATATATATATATATATATATAAGAATTCTTACAGAATATATAGTCTGATTTGAGTTAAGTTTCAAAAATCCAGGTGAAACATTGTCAGAAGTAAAAATAATAAACGGCGGAAAAAAATACTCTATGGTAACATTATAGCCATTTCCATCCATCTCAAGAGATATGTTAAGAACATTCCTGTGGTAAATAAGATTTGTTTTATTTTCATAAAATAATTATTTTCAAAAAATGGATAACATTTAAATTCTTCTAAGAGACACATTTTATTTTTGTTTAAATTTTTTATTAAACTAAAAAAAAAAAATTTTTAACATTAATATATATTTTTTAATTTACTTGTAAGTAGCAAAGTGTTTATTAACCGAAACTTTTAAGTACAAACATAGTAAATTAATAGATATTATTTAAGATATTTTTAAGTACAAACATAGTAAAATAGGTATTTAAGTTGAATAAATAATACTTTCATTTATATAGTATGTACGTACATAAATCCATACATTAATAAATCCATTTATACTAATTAAAGCGATTATATGGGAATCAACTATAAAGGACATACATTGAAATGCACAAGCAGCAGACTTCATATATTTTTGTTGTTATTGTATTGGTGCATGTGTTAAAAACACTAGTTGATAGTTTCAACAATACATCACAGACCTTTCACTGCTTAAAAAGAATGTTTTTAAAAAATGTTTAAAGAAAAAAGGAAGATCTGAAGTGCAAATTGTTATTTCAATAGTTAAAACAGATAAGTAACAATGATTTTATAAATTTAGACGAGTTTTAATGTTTAAAAGCATGTATATAAAAAGTTTTTATTTTTCTATGAATAAAATAGTTGCAAATCCTGATAAAGTCTAGTTTCTATTACTTGGCCTATAAATCTGCAGTGTTCTGTTTGTAAATGTTAGCAATGTTAAGATAAAAAAATATTTCCTTTAAGGTTAACCAATTTATAAAGATTTAAAGTTTGATAATAATATTAAATGTCTAAGTGGGAAAGTAAATATTTTGCTCTCTCATAAGAAACTTTATTACAAGAAAATTAAAAAACAAGCTACTCTTTTATTTAATGTTTTTGTATTGCCTAATTTTTCATATTGTCATTTAATTTTGATGTTCTGCTCAAAAAGTGATGATAATCTTATTAATAAATCTTTTATAAGAACTTTACATTGTGATCTGATCTCATTGAGTGATATGCTAAAATTAATTAATAATCCAAAGACCCACCTTAGGAACCCAAGGATCCACTTTTCGGTTTTTAGTAAATGAAGTTTTTAAATCTACTAATGCACAGTAGGCCAGAAATCAGCATAAATGCCAAAAATGAGTATTTGTGGAAACTTTTTTTTTGCAAAATTTCAAAAGTAAATACCCCACAATAAAATAATCTGACATTTAAATGTTTTCATTTTTGCTTTAGGAGTCTTGGGAAAGTTTTCAAGCTTGTCCATTTAAAAAAAAAAAAAAAAAACAATAGAGAAAATACTCATAAAATTGAATTTTACCTTGTAAGAGCAGTTTTTTTTAACTTAATTAAAACTTTATAGTCTCAATATTAGGGTACATGGTTTATTATAAAAAACTTAACAAACAAAAATAGTCTTGTATTTTAAACTTTTTTCTTAACTTGAAATATGACAGTAAAAGTATTAGAAAATATAATAAAAAGTTACCATAAAAAGCTCAAGATCTTTTTTTTCCAACATTTTCCAATGGGAATAACTTTTTTACAGAGTCTTATTATTGTAGAAGGTTTCTCATTAAAAATATCTTGCACAAAGTTGCGCGAATTAATGTTTAACAGGTCTTAAATTTACGACTTGTTTGACATTTTAAATTGTTCAAAGCACATTGTTGTTAAGTATGAATTCTAAATAATTAATTGCAATTATGGAAACTACAAGAAACAATAAAATTTAATGCTATTCCACTTAATTAAGTAATGTGGTTTTTTTTATTTAAAAACTTAAACTTATTTCAGTTAATCATCGATTATGTTTTTAATAATTTAAATATGAATACTATTTAAAAACTTTAAAAAACTGTAATTATATTTTTATATTGAAATTTTATTGTACCAATCATTATGAAAAAATAAAAGAATTACTGGAAAATTGTTTCATGCTTTGGAAAACAACTTAATCAAATCAGTTACTGACCCTGATGTTTATAAAATAACAGGGTTCCTTGACATAGACTTCATATTATTTACTAAACAATTTAACAAAAAATAAAATAAAATAAACAGACAGAAAGATAGATTTGAGTTGCATTACAAAGTCTGGTTAGAAAAAGAACTACAAACAAGTGATGCATGTTTGGAAACAGATAAACTAGACAAAGGCCAAAACTTGGGCTTGGGTTTTCCTACTTTTTCTCACAATTTAGGAATAATATTTCATAAAAATTAAAGTAATGGACTCATTATTTTTTTTTAATATTTAATTGTGTTTTAGCAAGTGTTTATACTAAATACATTTAAATTATACTTAAGTCAAACTAAATTAAATTTAAATAAGTTGTCTATGGACCATCAGGTGCAAATTCCATACCACTTTTGATAAAACAAAGAAGAGGAGAGCAGAAAAAACAAACATTGCTGTTGAAAGAGGGACTATTTGATTAAAGATGGTGCAGTTAATTCAATAACAATGTTTACTGGAGACAAAAACATTAGCTTTGATTTTGGACTGCCAACTTAGTAAAGCCGATTACTAAACAATTCATGTTGGAGCAGTTTCTAAAGGTAACAAATTATATCCAACTTATAGTATTTATAGAGCCTTATTGACCATACTACATACAAGTTGTTAAAAAAACTCAATGAATCTGTAAAAACTCCTAAAAAATCCATACTAGTCTTTATACACAAAATATGATTTGATGGTTCAACCAGCCAATCATTATACAAACAAAGTACAGAAGACAAGATAAGTATCATTTATGTTGAGGAACGATCTTTATTCCTATTTATTAAACTTTATATTGAAGAATTTCACAAACCACTATGGACCAGTGAAAAATCATCCTCTACACTTTACTGTTGCCAAGTACAATTTCAATATGTAAAAGAATGTGCTGTTATTACACAAGAATATATTTCCTTCAAGATCAATAATTTGAAACCAACAGTCTTTAATTTCTTTGTTATCAAACATAAGTTAGAATGCACAATTATGGATGGAAAAGTAGCTACTATAGCTTTGCCTTCAAGTAATTCTTTTCAAGTATGTAGTATTTTTGGACTGCTACTTCAAATATAAACAATTTAGATATTGCTTTTTCAAAAATCTCTAATAAAGTTTTCACTGAACTTGGATTAAGCACAATCCATGCATGGATTAGATGCTTTGAATGCTGCCTTCATATAAGTTATAGAAATGAATTAGGAAAGTGGCAAATTAGGGGAAAAGATGATAAAGAAATTATTATATTTTTAATTTAGATTATTGTTTAACAAAAGATGAAAGATCACTTAGGTTTAATTGTAGAAAAAAGCAGCGATTTAGGTACAACAAATGATGGAAACACAACACAAAAAGGTATTCCAAAACTATAAGGAGTCTGCTGAAATACTTAGCTTAGATAAAAAATCTCATAAAACGTTTTTACATAATTCATTGTGTTTTATCATGAAAACATCAAATTAACGTTGATGAACTTGAAAAATATACCAAAGAAACAGCAGAGCTCTGTGTTTCTCTTTACCAATGGTTCCTAATACCTCAAACTGTACATAAAATAATAGTTCTAATACTAATTCATAGTCCTCAAGTTGTAAAAGATAAACCTATGATAAAGATAAAAATTATGCGGTAGTGGTGTAGTGGTAAGAGCGCTCGCTTTGTAAGCAAGAGGTTCGGAGTTTGACTTCCATCATGTCTCTAGAAGTACCCCGCTCAACTTAATTTCTCAGCGCAGCGGCCTTGCTTGTCAAGGATCGTGTTTCGGAGTTAAAGAGTTGAGAGAGGGTTGTACCACGATTTACAACATAAAAAAAAAAAAAAAAAAGAGTAGCCTCCTTGACTGCAGTGGCCCCCTCGGGCCTTAGGGAGATGAATAATTAAAAAAAAACAAAAACATTATCAATAGGTCTTCTTTCTCAGCTCAGGAACTTCAAAATTAAAACGTTAAAAAATATAGAGAACACTATACGAGAAAATATTCAAAAAAACTCAATAATGAAGATGTAATGCGAACATTATTGTGCAGTTCAGATCCAACTCTCTAGGAAGGAGTTTGAGGTACATTAAAAAACTTGAACATAGCAAAGGTTGTATTAAACTTTTGTTGTAACTTTTTTTCAATTTAAAGTTTGTATATTTTTACTCTGATTTCTGATAAAATATCTAATAAATAAATATTTCTTTGTTTATAAAAAGGGTCTAACACGTAACTATAAATAGTTGTAACACGCAAATATATATATATATATATATATATATATATATATATATATATATATATATATATATATATATATATATATATATATATATCTTCATGATGACTGGAGTCACTAATAAAAATTTCAATTTGATAACTTTAAAAATAAAGGAGTTATGATTTTTTGTCCATTTTATGTCAATCTTGACCCACTGTGTAATGGCTTAAACCAGAGTTTATGTCAGATCTTTTTGTTAAAAAACTCTCCCCAATATATTTCGCTGCTGTAAAAAATTAATGCTACCACCAATTGTTTTTTAACATAAATGCATAAAAAAATAATCTACTCAGCCATCTTGTTATGATAAATTGTCTTGCAACAATGAAATCATGTCAATACATAATCAAAAGATATTTAAAATAGGAATTTCAAAATGGTACAAAAAGTATTGCTTTTGCAAAACTTGTAATACTAATTGAAATTTATTTGATTTTGTTTATATTTAACCAGAATTGTAATTTATACTTGCTATTAAATCAAGATTTTTAAAATTTTTTTGTTTTTTTAATGAGTTTATTCTTGATTTTACTTTTATTAATAACAAAATTTTTTCAAAATTAACACTATAATTCTTCTCTATTTATATTTTCTAATTTTACTTCGCTCCTACTACTTAAAAAAAAGAAATCTTTAATTATGTATGATAAATTTAAAATTAAAATTATTGTAAATTTCTTCAGCCTAGTCTAAAATTATAGTCATTTTCCAATCAAGTTCTCAATAACAATTAATGAATAAATCTAATCAGTAAAATTTATATTTTTTAATTGCTTTGTATTCAATGTATAAAAACTAAATAGTATAATTTTTTATTGAATTCTGAAAGACAATCAAAATGACAGATAACAAATACCACACAAAAAAATATAGTATTTACAAGTGCTACTGTTTAATTCAATTTATTAAAATTCAACTTTTTTATAACCTGTTTAAAAACAAATATCTATTTCATTAGCATATAAACTTACAAAAACACGGTAGACGGCTCAATTCATAAGTGAGAACAAATAAAGTTCTAAGTTTGATCCCCACTATGTCCCAGGTAGTACTGCACTCAACTTGTTTCTCAGTGCAGCGGTCATGTTTGTCAAGGTTCAAGTTTCGGGATAACAGAGTTAAGGTAAGTATGTAATAGGGTTGGGAATACCAGACTAAAAATCAAATACCAGTATTTCGGTATTGAAGATTTCTAATCCTGGGATTCTGGTATTAATACCGGTATTATTATTATTCCTATAATAATACGAATGAATAAATAATTTAATTAAAAAATGGTTTGGCAATTAAAAAAAACTATATTAATTTATTTAAAGAATAAAAAAAAAAGAAAAGAAAAACAAAATTCAGTAAAATGTTAGTTATATATTAATCATAAAAAAAGGAAGAAAACATAAATTTTTAAGGTTCTAATTTTTTGCAATTGGTTGTTAATATAAGACCTCAGAAAACATAGATTGTTAAGTGAATTATCCCCATCCTTCACCGAATTCTGGTGCAGATTAAGCCAGCTACCAAAAAAGCTTTCTCTGATTCTAAACTGGTTGGTTGAATACTTAGCAAATAATTATACATTTGTCTTAAAAAATGACATTTTTTTTTAATTGAGCATGTGAGATCTTTTTTATTTTGGTTGATTCCACTCTCAGGTAATCTTGCAAATTTTTTTTTGATATTGCTATCTATAACTTTTCTTTTAAAGTCAGAGAAATTTCATTTCTTTGATCAACTTCATCATCATCGACATTGAATATTAAATTTGTGTCTGAATTTGATATGTTGGCTAAAGTAGATGTTGTTGCTACAGGTGCAGCTTCATAATGCAAGTTTGGCCCAGACATTGTATCTGTAAAACAATAACTTTTGCGATTGCAGCTTTGGTAATGATTGGAAAACTTTTCAAACTTTTTTAATTAATGGTAATGTTTGCTGATGTACCAGAAAAGAAGAATTATCATCATCGTTTTCAGTGGAGATTATGAGTAAACCATTTTTATTTTCATAATCTTCATCAATTAATTCGTCGTCATCTGTGGAATTCTGCTCTTTTTCAAATCTGGGTGTAAAAACTGATGTAACGTTGGCATCTTCTTCATTATGCACACTATCCTCATTATTAGGTTTTTGCAGAGTATGCTGATAACAGCCAACTGAATTCCATGCGCTAAACATAGCTGCTGATGTGCTTCAACTAACCTGCCAACCTTTGTCATAACTGCAGCGCCATCAGTGGTAATACCTACAATATTCTTGATAGAAAGCTTAAAATCACCTAACCTATCATTGACAAGCTCAACACATTTTTCTGCGAAATTGTTCCAAAAGCACGAATTAATCCTAGATTCCAAAATTTTTTGTCAGAGTGGACATTAATATTTATGTAACATCTATTTCTTATTGATGCCCATTCATCAAATGTTAGAGAAAATCTGTTTCTATTCTGCTTGATAATTCTTTAATTACTTTGTCTCGTATATATTATTACTGTAATTCAAGACCATTCTGTGATTCTTTGATATGTCAGAAAAGCTTTTGGCTGTTAAGCTTTTTTCTGATATCATTTGATGTGCCAATAATGTTGAATGATAAACCATCACACACAGTCATCCTAGCTAAAATAGCTGGCAATGAATCATCCATTTTATCACTTTTAAAAAAGTTGTTTATAGTTACAGAAGGTTTTGATGTCTGTACAAATTCTGAAAAATATAAAACAGTGGGGCTACCTACATCTCTTTTTAATAAATTGATTTTATGAATTGTTTTTAAGTGAGTATGAACACTGCTTATAGAACCTCCATGTGTTTTTATTATTCTCTTACACAATTTGCATTTAACACACTGTCCTCCTTTTTCTTTTACAAAATGAAAGATAAATGAATGCCCAAATACCGGGATCCCGATATTTGGGAATTACTGGCATCCAGAATCCTGATTTTCCATACCCTAGTATGTAACCACACTTAAGGCAGCTTCCTCAACTGTAGTTGTCGGTCATAATGGCCTTGGAGAGGTGAATTTGCAAAAAAAAAAAAAAAAGATGCAATTAATATTTTTTATTTAATTAGTTTCTTCATTAACTCATTATCATTAGAAAAAAAAAATTTTTTTCACTTAACTATTGTCTAAAAGAAAGCAAATTGCATGACTTTCAATCTATAGAAAGCCCATTCTTAATGAGTGACTCACACCACATTTTTACATATATAACATAAAACTTTCATTTATAAATTTATAAAATTTCCAACAACAATATTCTTACCCCTCAACAAATCCATGAATACAACTATCAATACGACCTAAAAAAAATAACTTTTGTGATGTTTTGTTTCAATGCACGTTAAATTAATATAATTGATTATTGACAATAAATACCACAAAAAATATGTTTCAAAAAGTAATGCAAGATTTAGAGAAAAAAAAAATCATTCTTCTACCTGACAAACTAAAAATGTTTCAAAACTTGATAACTTAATTTTAATTATCTTGGAGTTTATTCATTTAAAAAATGCCCTTGTCTACTCTAACTGGAATATATATAGTCTTAGATGGTAGTCAGAAAGTTTTTCCCATAAACTGTTGTTTTAAAGAGCGCGTTAATAAGCCTGACCAAAAAATATTAAAAAACTTCAAAAAAAATTTTTTTTTAAATGATAGACTGCCTTCCCAAACCAAACCCTCAGTCGATGTAGCAGCAATTCCTTGCGAGTCAGGCTATTTGTCAGTCGATGTAGCAGCACTCCCTTGCAAGTCAGGCTATTTGTCAGTCGATGTAGCAGCACTCCCTTGCGAGTCAGGCTATAAGATAGTCGATGTAGCAGCACTCCGTCGCGAGTCAGGCTATAAGATAGTCAATGTAGCAACACTCCCTTGTAGCAGGCTATAAGATAGTCAATGTAGCAACACTTACGCATGTTTTAAAAATGCTTTTTAATAAAATAAAAACAAAAACACCACTAATTAAAAAAACTTTCTAGTCATTATTATTGTGGTTTTTTGTAAAAACAATAAAATTTAATGTACTTTCGCATTAATTTAATTGCTTTGACATTTCGAACACAATAAAATGCAGCTTAAGAGACAAGGTAAAAAAATTGTTGTCGAAAAAGACTTTTTTTACCATAAAAGTCTCTTTCGACTACACTATAAGGATATATATATATATATATATATATATATATATATATATATATATATATATATATATATATATATTTATATATATCTTATACTGCTGAGTTAGGTGAGCATGATGATGTCATACCCACCTAATGTCAAATAGCCTGCTGCCGGGGGCTTCAGTACATACATCGACTGACAAATAGCCTGACTCACCGTGGAGTGCTGCTACATCGACTGAGGGTTTGGTATGGGTCAACATTTTCATTTATTATTCTTCGTTTTTCCTCATCGTTTTCTAAAAATGCTCACTTAATTTAGGCTAGCAAAAAAAGTGAGCAATTGCGCATATAAATATGCTATAGTAGATATTATATATATATATATATATATATATATATATATATATATATATATATATATATATATATATATATATATATATATATATATATATATATATACACATACACACATATATATATATATCAACCCTCGGAATTAGGAAAAATGAGGTCGGCAGTAATTTGCTGACCTCCATCTTTTAAAAGTTGGCACCAGGTCGACAAAAAAATTTGATACAAAGGTTTTACCATAAAACATAAAAATGAGGTCAGCAATATCTTGGAGCAGGAAAATATTGGCACGTTTAAATATCTTGGAGCAGGAAAATATTGGCACGTTTTTAGTCAATAATTTCCTTTGTTTGTTTTAATTTTGAACTCTCTATAGCACAATATTTCTTTGTTTTTTTTATCATTTTTTTAATTACCTCTCTTTAGTAAACTGAAGTTCCTACACAGAGACATACTAAAAAAAGAAAAAAAATGCACTAAGAATAGGTCTTACTTATAAATCAAAGCGTTTTATAAAAAAAGCTTAAACTTTATGTTTAATGTAGATAATTTCATCTACTTGTATAAAAAATCTAGATGGTATTGGGAGACTTGGTATAAAAACAATGATCTCAATCAACCAATGATCTTAATTAATGTTTTGTTTATAAGCCCTGTAGTCATATCTCAAAAAAAGGTGTCACAATTTGATTTAATATGACTGCAATCTCATTGAGATAAGATTAGAGAAAAATCAGGTCACTAAATGTATTTAACTGACAATGAAAAACAGAAAAACAGGATAAGGCAGGTAAAGATAATTGATAGTACATCTTTAAAAAAAAAGAAAAAATTTAAAAAAGGAAAAATAATAGAATTTGGATGTTGATATTGTTGCTATTGCTGTTACTGTTTTTGGATGGTTTTTGGATAGTTTTTGAACTAGCAGCATTCCCAGTTATATACCCAACCTATTCTTTGCTTTCAAGGAGAAGATTACCATCATATTTTATGATGTCAAAATACTACCATATGTATTACCATCTTTTTTTATGAAGTCAAAAACTTCATTAAATTGATCGAACTTTTTTGTTTTACACATTTATTGTACGTCTTCAGCACTTGATCCAGTCTAGGCTCTACACAATTGTGAAATTGTGTACAAGCTAAACTGGATCAGTATAATTTCATTCAAATAATTGTAAACAATTCATTTTAAAAAAATTTAATATACTCTACTAATTAGACTGTACACTGGATTAGACACAGTCTACAAATTGATCCTTCTTGATTTCATAAACTTGAAGGACCGCTTACATATTGCAATTGAAACAGCAATTGGAAGAAGTATTTGTGAAATAAGCAGATTCGGAAATTCATCATTTCCATATAAGACAATAAAACAAAGAAATTCCCAATGAGTTTCTAGTAGAATTACAGTCCGGGTACTGAGCAGCATTGACGAGTCTATATTTTGTTTTGGTCCAAGTATAACCCACCTTAGCAAAGAAAATAAGGGCGTCGGAGTATCAAAATCAGTGAAATTTCCATCAAACTCCTATTTTCTTTGCTCCAGGATTTCTTTCCGAATTATTTTTGATGCCTCAAAAATTGTTGTGTAATCATCCGGATTGTTTTTAAAGTTATCTACCGCTTTTGCTTGATATTTGGTAGAGCAAAGCTATTTGGACTTTCTACGACATGGAGGTCTTGAAAAAATCATTTCTGGCACATTATCTTGTAGAAGTTTATTTAAGTAACATTTATAATTCACCTCAGTCTGGTCATTATTCCCAATTAAGTTATTGTAAGTTTTATTGATGTTGTTCATATCCATAACAAAACCAAAAACTTCTTTTAAGTTCAAATGGACTAAACCAATGATTTCTACATCTGTGATAACCATACCAATATCATCCAATTCTTGAATTTCTTCTTGAGTTGTTGTCAATTTAACAGATCTCTGCATTGTTAAGTGGTATTTAACACTATTTGCAATGGCATCATCAGAATTTGGGATAGTGTTTATTCTAAGGAAAAATTCTTAATCATTAAGTGACTTGGAAGCTTTTAACATTTTTTTCCAGTCTCTGTAAACTCAACTTTTCAAAGTTCACTGCCTTCACATTGGCAAATTATACAAAGTTCTTTGTTGTAGACTTGAAATTTTGAATGGAGCAAGTCTTCTATGGGTTTAGTTTCAGGATTGCATTTTTAGTGAAAGGGATATGTTCAATAATACAAAAAAAAAGTTCAATTACAAGAAAACTTTACAAAAGTTTTGTGGAATATTTTCTGAAATCAGGGTTGAAGCATCATTGGACAATTTTCATCGGGCACATTTGAACATACTGCGCGTCTCTTGACAATCTTATCAGCAAATAAAATCATTAAAGATTAAAAAATTAAACAAAGTATGTGCGCAAAAAGAATGGTGTGCAACTATAAAAAGGTAAGTAAAAGATATATAAACAAAAACTTAAAAAATTGCAGTAAAACATGTTTTTAATGAAACAATGAAACTAAGAGAAATTGCAGGTGTATTTGAGTCCTCTAAAATGACATTGCCTTCTTGAATAAAAATACTTAGAAATAATAACAAATTATGATTGGATGATATTGCTTTTCACAAAGTTTTTTAAATTTGATATTTTTTTATTTATGAGATTGATAGGTGATTGAATCGTATTTCCATTTAAGCTTGTTTGAATATGCTAAACAATAAAACTATTTAATTAATTGAGACCATTTTAAAGATATTTCTGTTCTTGGTATATTCTCTTAATTCTGCTATTTTTTATAATTACTGCTCAATAAAATAAAATTTTAAGAACAATTTCTTGTATTTTTATAATACTTCTTAAATTGTCTTAATGTCATCCAAAACTACCCCCTCTTGTTAAGAATAAAAACAAACTATAATTTAATTGAAATAGCATGAACTATGTTTTTATCCCCAAATACTATTATTATTGTTAACGATGTGATTTTCAGAGTTAATAATAAATAACATCATCAGTGTTTAGGCATCATTAGTAATTATACTATTTGTAAACATCCTTGAATTTCAAGATCACGTTATTTAGAATATATATATATATATATATATATATATATATATATATATATATATATATATATATATATATATATATATATATATATATATATATATATATATATATATATATATATATATAGATATTTTAATGATTTGAGAAGAGTAAAATTAATTTTCTTTTTGATAATTATCAAACATTGACAAATCAAAACAAACTTTAGAACATTAGATTAATTTTGTTAAAAATTGTTTTAGTTTTTTATTTAAATATTAGTAACCTAAAAAAAGGAAAACTTCTTATTAAAAACCTTTTTAAAACACTAAAATAAAATAGTACAGAATATAAAAACTCCTTGTTTTTTCCTCATTTTTAACTAAATAAATTTTCCCTGATCATCACTAAAAAAAATTCCTTGATCCTCCTTGATCGTATTCAAATTTCACTGATTTGGTGGTAACCCTGTGTATAGATGGAGAGCTTATTTGTTAAAAGAAAAATATTTTTAAATAGTTTGGAAATTCACTTTACTAAATTTTTCTAAAAGATTTTACACAAATAATTTCTTGGTAAATAGTTACATATCATATTTTAATATTAGTCATTTCATTTTAACAAATTATAATAAATTAATAATATTTATTATTAATTTATTTTAATTTAATAAGTTTTAAAATTGTAATTGTTTTAAATTTAAAGGATGTACAAATTTTAACATGTTTCACTTTTTCTTATTCTAGTATATACTTTTTAAGTTTTATTTTGTTTGTTGTTTTAGTACTTTACCCACTGTTAAAATATATTTTCATCAAGTAATTAAAAAGCAAATTTTCATCAAATAGTATTGACATTTTGATCAATGTTTTCCATATGAATTTTAAAAAAGCATCTGTACCTCATAAAACACTAAAACTAGTTACTAACAGAAAAATAAATTAGAAGTTTGTCATATATAAAGCAACATGCAGAGTTGAGGCAAGATAAAATTTTATAGTTGACATGATTTTCTAAGCGCATTTAAATGGCAATTTATTACCAATTCAAACAACTCAAGTATTTAGAAGCTAAAATAGTATGATTTTATGGTTTAGGTGCATAAAATAATTTTCAAAGTTTAATAAAATTTTATTTTTAAAATTTGACATTATAAAATTTTTAATAAAAATTTTATAATGTCAAAGTAGCAACGTTATAAAACATATTGTGCTGAAAATAAATATTTTTAGTACTCAGTTCACAGGTACTTCCAGCTGCATTAAATCAGTAATTATGAAACTTGTTAAATATACAATATTAAAATTAAGTTATTACATGAAATTTATCAACGATATAAAAATCATCAAAGAAATAATGAAAAATAATAAAAAAATACCATAGTCATCTGTTTTATAGTACGAAACATTTCCAAAAACATAGATGCCATATTCATTTTGAAAACCAGCAGAAAACTTGTAAGTTGTGTTGCTATGTAACAAGGTAATAAGAGCTGAACTACCTGTTACATTAAACAAGTTGATTTCATTATTTGAACTTTCACATTTGATCACAAAACTTAAACCAGGATGGTTAAAGATTGGCGAAGATGTATTAATGATAACATTAACAGAATATTTTGAGATGGGATCAATATTTTGAATGCCAAAGTCTGGAAAAACAAAAAAAAAAATACAATTAACAATATTTTTTTCAAAAAAGCATACACATTTTGACACAAGTACTACTATGTATTCAAATGTATTTAGAATGTCATATTTATGTAATACAATAAATTTTCAATCCAACAATGACTCAGACCGTTGAACTTGCTCTTGCTTGTTGCACAGAAGGAATCGAAGGTGCAATTTGTCTTTATTTTTGCACGATGAATTAATTTCCTCCATTACTTTGATTGCGCACTCTGCCCATTGATTACTTCTGAGTATCTGTAGTTATTGCCAAGTTATTAGTTGTTTTTGTTGTACAGTTGGTCTGTAAACCAATGGTCTGCCCAGCCATACAGTATAAATATCTGCAGAACTGCCCTTGTTGAAGGAATTAAAATGAAGGCCAGGATTGCTAGTTCTGGAGTTCCACCTCGTATTGCTGAAATTGGGTATTTTCTGAAACCTGATCAATGGAAAATGTTCCTTTTCCTTAAAAAATAAGAACACTCAAGTGAGATGAAACAAAAGTTTCATATCATCTCTTCAGCCTAATGTTTTGAGAATTACTTCTGTTCTGTTATCAAACCGTGTTTTCAGTTGTTCGTACTCCTTCAACAGTTGAGATAAAAATGGATATTTGATGTTTGACAATTGCGTTTTACTTCCAAGTTCTTCATCCATCACCAAATGAAGGAGTCTATCTAATACATGGTGTTGACAACTGATAAACTGAGGTTTGTTGATGCATTTCTCTGGGAACATTCGTTGCAATATTACAATAACACCATTCTTTTTTCCAGTGTTTTTCGCTGGTGGTATCTGCAACAATTATCTGTATTGAATTCCATAGGTGAAATTCATCAAGGATTTTAGAAATTCCTTGAACAATAGTTAAAACCCTAGGAGCTTATTCACAACTTTTCCGTAACTCTTGCGTAGCTGAGCAAAAGTTATGAATAACTTACGCAAACTATTTTTTGCGTAACTATTTGGTATTCACAACTTTTTCCTAGCATTTGCGTAAAGTTAAGGTTGCGCATGAGTTACGCAAAACTTACGCAAAAACTTGCGCAAATATTCTAAAACTATTTGTATAAAATATATATATATATATATATATATATATATATATATATATATATATATATATATATATATAAATATATATATATATATATATATATATATATATATATATATATATATATATATATATATATATTTATACCACTTTGTGGTGGGACTTGAAGTTTCATGCCCTTTGGCAATCATCAGCCATATTTTATTCTTTTAAATCTAGAAAAAAACTGTTAAAAAATACAAAATACAAAAATTAACAGAAAAAACAATAACAAAGCAATAGAATGAGTTCTGACATAAAAACAAATTTTTAATTAGAAAATTGTTTAATCGGCTGTGTCGAAATGGGCAAGAAAAAACTTGTTTCGATGCCTGTACTTGGATATCATTTCACTTTTTTTGTTACACAGTTTGCAAGACTTCGTGGTTGGGTTGTAAGCATTGCACTGCTTAATTATTTTCCATTTAATAACTGGATTTAAATTTTTAAATCCAGTTATTAAATTGTTATTAAATGGAAAATAATTAAGCAGTGCAATGCTTACAACCCAACCACGAAGTCTTGCAAACTGTGTATAAATGAAAAAATTAAAAGTTATTAAATTCTGTTTTCCAAAAATAAAAATCTACTTAACAAAAAAAGTGAAATGATATCCAAGTGCATTATATCCAATTGAAACCAATCCAAATTATATATATATATATATAACCACATCCAAGTTATATATGGTATAACCACATCCAAAAGAAAATAATTTTTTTTTTGAAATTAAATACTTTTTTTTTAATACTTTTGTTTTTTTGGAATGACTCAGGTCATTAATAAAAGTTGTTTTCACCGCATTTAGCACAAAAAATGTGTTCTTAACTTTTTCACACAAAAAAAATTAAAAAAAATTCAACACATAATATTTAATCCTTATTTTTATAGATTCTATTAAATAATTTTTTTTTTTAAAAAATATCTTCTTTTTTCTCATGTTCTATTTAATATGTTTGAAAAAAAAGACTACTTTACTATCTTTAGAATAAAAATTAATTAAATTTATTTGAAATTTTTTAATTATTTAGTGGTTCTTAACTTTTATACAATACTGTATATATATATATATATATATATATATATATATATATATATATATTATATATATATATATATATATATATATATATATACTGCATAAGATTTTTGTTGAAGTTTTTCTTCTTATTTAAGAAGTTTCTTGTAGTATTTATAGTTTGCATATATACAAACATATAATATTACTTCAGATAATTATTTACAATTAAAGTAAAGATTTTTAATGAACTTGCAACTTCAGTAAATTTTTTACTTAAATTTTCTATTATTTACAACTTTTAAAACTGTACGTAATATTAACATTTATAAATATAATGTGGCAGTATCAATATGTATACTAAAAAAATATGTACAATATACTAAACAAATATGTACAGTTTTAATTTAGGATACTGTGAAGCCATAAAACTTATTTGCAGATGAACAGTAACAGTGTTTACATATATATACATAGCGATTATATGTAGTAAATATAAAAAGATTGCTTACATATAAAAAAATATATATTGTTATTTTTCTATTAGTAGTGTTTCATTAGCGATACAACTGTGCGCTGTGAGTAGGGTCTGATTAGACTTTAGATGATCCAGACAATGCAGAAGCATGGATTAGATGCTTTTCAGCTTCCGCACGTTCAAAGAAATTAAAAGATGAGATAAACGGTAGCTACGAGATAACAGATTTATTTCTGGCAAAAGCAGGCATTGAAGCAGTTAAAAAGATTTCCCTTATGGTATACCCATAAGAATTAGAAAATATGATGTTCGATGATATTAAAACTGTTGTTATGTCTCATTTGAGGCCTCAAAAACGACTAATTATTGCTGAAAGAGTTCTATTTTTAGCATTAAAACAACAAAAAATGTCTAGCTCTCTGAGTAGATCATACAATAGCTAACGCTTTCTCTCGATATTAGAATATCTTATCACAGTGTCTGATAAAGTTCATGAGAGATACAATACAGGATGACCATTTTGTGAAAGTATTCCAGATTGTTAATTCTAGATCTTGGTTGATGTCATAAACTTTTACTTCAGGGTTCTTCGCAAAGGTTCTTTTTTAGCAACTCAAATGCATGTTGATGTTGATCTCCTTTCTTTCTTAAATTATTTAAAGGTAAAATTTTTTTAGCATATTTTTCAATGTGTCGACCATAAAAGTTTATTAATCCTATAAACGACTTAAGTTCCTTTTTATCATTAGGAGGATTTATTTTGAGTATTTTGCTGACCAAATTATGATGTCAGAAAAGGTAGTTACCCCAGGTAACTACCTTTTCTGACAGTTCGTATCCTAAAAATGAAAGACTTTTTGTTTCATTCACTGACTTTCTTTTACTTATACTCATTCCCGATTTCTTCAATTTGCTCAAAATTTTAATCAAATTCGATTTAAGTTCATCAGCACTTTTACCACCGACACATATATCATCTTGAAATATAATCCTATTAGGAATAATATCACCAACCACAGATTCTATCGCTCTTTGAAATATCACACTTGCAATTTTTATTCCAAAATAATTTTTTTTTTTGTTGGCTAGGAAATTTAAACTAATATCAGATCAACATAAGAGTTTATATTTGATTGTAATAAAGAACTGCCTAAAGTGACATCTGGTAGAATTTTAAGATGGGCCCTACAAATGATGGCATTTGACTTCAAAATAAGCTATAAAAAGGGAGAAAACTTTCCTCATGCTGATGGATTATGGAGACTGTCTTATCTACCACAAGATGAAAATAAGGACCATGAAACCTTTATACACGTAGTCGAGTCAGATATCGTGAATCTTGAGCAAATAATAAAAGAAACAGAAAATGATAGAGTATTGATGGATATCAAAACCAGAATTAGCAAAAATAATTGGAGCAGGTACTCTGTAGCAGAAAGACCTTATAAATCTAAATAAATAAATAAGACCTTATAAATCTAAATAAATAAGAAATAAATTGAATATTGAAAAGGGAATTGTATGTAATGGGAATCTCATCTTACCTCCTAGAACAATGAGAAAGATGTTCATCAAATCAGTGTCAAATCAGGGTTGAAAGATGTTCATCAAATCAGGGTGTCAGACTATTTTTAACTATAGTAGATTCTTATTCTGGATGGCCTAAAGTTATTAAAGGAAATAACTGCGAAGCTGCCACAGTGAAGGCAGTACTACAAAGTGTTTTTTCAAGAAATGGAGTTTTATATTAAGCATTAATGGATACTAAATCCAGAGGATTTGGTATCCATTAATGCTGCATAATTTCATGATACTACCTTGGCTGAAAATAGGTTTTACCTTACCATCCTTAATTTAATGGAGCAGCTGAAAGAATGGTAAAGACAGTCAAAATGGGTTTAAAAGCTTATTCACTAGATAAAGTTTATTATGTGGATATTTAAGTAGAGTGCTTTTAACTTACAGAACAATACCTCATGCAGGAATATCAAGGAATCCTTCCGAGATGATGGGGAAGCAGTTGAGATCTCCTCTCACTATAAGTTTTGAAAGTGCAACACCATTATGGTATCGCCAAAGACCAGATTCTGAACCTGAACCTACTTCATTTATCTCTCAGGCTAGACTAAACACTGTGTTCATATTTTGAGCAACTCTTCAGGTCCATTAGCACACTGTGACCAAATAAGCAAACACCTAACTGTGTCTAGTATAGTTATGAATAAAGAAAATAATACACGTTATGATCCTGATAATAATGAGAAACTCAACCCTTTCAATAGTGATAAATCTGATATGTCCAAACTACTTGTAACTAAAGAAGAACGTACCCAGAATCAAAAAAGTACACGGTCGACAAGGGGGCAAAAGCCAATATGTTTCAGGG